AAAAAAAAAAGAAAAAAACAATCAAATATAATATCAGATGTGCACAGAGAGGAAGACAATCTGAAGTCAATGGGGACCTTACAACAGAAGTTTTCTTCTTGAGTTTCCTCTGCTCACAACCCAGGGAAAGCATCTTCCCAACTGACCTATTGCCCCAGTGTTGGTCTCTCCAAATTCAACTCTCCTGAGGAAGTCATTATTGGATTTGTGTAAGGGTGTTGATTGTGGATCCAAGCAAGATGCAATAATTGATAATTTGAATGTTTTCTCCATCTATCATGATGTTGGCTATTGGCCCAGTGGTGAGGATCTGTTTTCCTGATGTTGAGTTGTAATCTCTTTTGCAGGCTGTAGTCTTTGATCTTCTGCAACAAGTGTTTCAAATCATCCTCACTTTCAGCAAAGGTTGTTGATGAATCTTCCTCTGCTGCTGATGCCACATTCTTCTTCATAAAGGCCAGCTTCCACAGTGGTTTGTTCAGCATATGATTGAACAGGAATGGTGACAGGATACAGACTTGATGCATGACTTTCTTAATTTTAAACCAGACAGTGTTTCCTTGTTCTGTTTGAATGAAAAATTCAAGAGGAACAGTATTGCATTCATAGTTAAAAGGGCTGTTGCAAGCTCTATCTTTAAGTACAGCACTGTAAGTGACAGGATATTATCTATATACATACAAGGAAGACATGCTAATACAACTGTTATTCAAATATTCTTCATCAGTAGTAGATGTCGGCGCAGGAACTGGTTGAACAGTGTATCTATCCTCCATTAGCTGGTAATCTAGCCCATCCTCATCTAAAGCCAAAGATGAGGAAGTTGAAGAATCCTACCAACTTTTGCAGTCTCTGAAATGGATCTAATACACAGTCAAAATACATTATTAATAATAATTAGTGCCTAGAATGCAAAATATGGAAACAAAGTAGAAGAAACAGCAGTCAGAAATTAGGGACCTTGTAACAGAAATGAGGCTGGAGACAGAATAAGTGTACATTTTGTACATTCAGTGATTTATTTATTCATCACAAATAACCTTTTTAAAAAGTACAAAAGTTCACTTTACAACTAGACCCTGGGTGATGGGCCACACAGCTACCAGACTGACTGTATCTGTGGAAAGAATTGTTGGAGAATCAGTGTCAGCAGTCAGAACCAAGCCAGGTACTGACTGTGAAAAATACTATCAGTCAACATTATGCAAGTTCAAAGTGAAGTTAAAGAAAATGAAAACAAGTCCATAAGCATCAAAATATGACCTTGAGTCTCTCCCTCATGAGTTTAAAAAGCAGCTCAAGAATAGGCTTGACCCATAAACGAATGGATGGAGAAGCTCTGGTATATTCACACTATAGAATATTATGCATCACTGAAAAACAAGGAACTCATGAAATATTATGCAAAATGGATGACCCTAGAAGGCATTATGCTGAGTGAAATATCTCAGTCACAAAAGGACAAATATTGCATAGGGCCACTGTTGTAAAACGGGACTGACATCAGGGTTGAGGGAAGACAGAAAAGGAGGGGAAGATTGATGTATATTCCATTGAAACAGATGAGGGAGAGAACTGTTTAAAAGGGATATATGAATGGGTATTCTTATCATTACAGATGTCCAGAGTAAAAGCTGCACAGTGGAGTGGATTTGGGAGGAGGGATTGCATAACAATGAAAGAGTTTTTCTTTAGTTTTTCAAGGAGAAGAGTGAGTCGGGGGGGGGGGGGAGAAAAGTGCAACAATGAATGATTGGAAACCCTAAGTCTCTGTAAACTTTCATTAAAATGAATTTTAAAAAATAGAATAAGCTTGAGGTATTGGTCACTGACTAATGATCAAATAATTTGTGGGATGAGATCAAAGACATCATCTCTGAAGAAAGCAAAAGGTCATTATAAAGAAAGAAGAAAAATAAAAGACTAACATGAATATCAGAAGAGACTTCGAATATTGCACTAGAGTATTAAGAAGCCAAAGAAAAGGGAAGAAATGCTGAAGTAAAAGAGATGAACAGAATATTTCAAAAGTAAGGCAGAGTAAAGTATTGTAATGGAATGTGCAATGAGCTGGAGATGAAGAATAAAAGGGAAGAACTTGCTTTTAGCTTCTCAAGCTGAGAACGTAAAAACTAATCCAAGCTTTGATTTGGTTGACACAGAAATATTTGAGGCAGTAGCATATGATCAAGAGCCAATGGCGATGAGGGAGGAGATCCAAACTGCATTGAAGGCCCTGGCAAAAAATAAGGCCTTAGGAATCAATGGGTTACCAACGGATATGTTCTAAATAAAAGATGTAGCTCTGGATGTATTTGCAAGTCTGTACCAGGAAATTTGGAAGACAGCTATGTGGTTCATCCTGGAGAGGGTGAAAACAGTCTGCTCCTTGGAGGCAAGGATCCTGAAGCTCCATAGGGCATACTTTGGACATGTTGCAAGGAGGGACCAGTCACTGGAAAAGGACATCATGCTTGGGAGGACAGAGGGAGAGCACAGGAGAGGAAGACTCTTGAGGAGATGGACTGTCTCAGTAACTGGGTAATGGAGTGTGTCAGAGATGGTGAGGTTGGCACATTATAGAGTCATTATATGTTCAGAGCTGTTGTACATAGGGCTGCTATGAATTGCAAGCAACTCTACAGCACTTAACAATGACAATAACCTGGCCAACTGACTGGAAGAAATCCATATTTGTTGCCATTCCCAAGAAAGGTGATACAACAGAATGTGGAAATTATCAAGCAATAACATTAACAATGCATACAAGCAAAAAAAAATTTTTAAAAAAACAATGCATACAAGCAAAATATTTCTGAAGATGACCCAAAAATGTCTAAGACAATACATTGACAGAGAACTGCCAGAAATACAAGCTGGGTTTAGAAGAGGCTGTGGCACCAAAGATATCGTTGCTAATGTCAGATGGATTTTGGCTAAATGCAGTGAATGCCATAAGAATGACTATTTGTGTTTTATTGACTATGCAAAGGCATTTGACTATACGGATTATAGCAAACATTGAGGAGAAAGGGGATTCTAGACCAGTTAGGTATAGAGAGATGTGTAATTTTTTTGTGAATATACTATCATATATTCCTATCAATAGATTTTGAAGCTCTGTCCCACATACTTTGGGCATGAGGACAGGAGGAGACCAGTCCCTGGAGAAGGACATCATGCTTGGAAGGGTGGAGGGACAGGGCAGAAGAGGAAGACCCTGGATGAGACGGATTAACATAGTAACTGAGGTAATGGGGGTAAGTGTGTCAAAGATAGTGAGACTGGCACAGGATGGAGCAGAATTTAGAGCTATTGTACATAGGGTCCCTATAAGTTGCAAGTAACTTGATGGTATATAAACAATGACAAAAATATTTTCAATCAATGAGTGAAGGAGTGGCTAAGTGAGAAGATAAAAACAGATTACAGGTAAACTAGTTAAAAGAATTTAAGATAGGTTTTCCTAAGGAACCTTGGAGAGACAGCTGAAATTTCAAGAGTTTCATCTTAAATCTCTTCATAACTCAATTTTCCTCCAACTGAAAACTGATGTTTTTTTAAATTAACAATAGATTATCAATGTGATAAAGGACTGAAGAGTAAAATTATTCTGCTCTTTGTGGAGTTTGTTCTACAAATTGTCTCCCCTGGGAGCATTTCTTGAAGGTTTACTTTATCTCGTTGTCCATAAAACCATAGAGTTAGGGTTAGGGTTAGCTGGAAGAAATTGAAATGAAAGTTGACTTCCTCATTGTAGATAGCTCATGTGACGAGTTTCAGTTTCTATTTAAGTGAAATTAACTCAAGTTGCCTTTGAGAGCCCACCAGCTGAAGGACTCTTATCAGGGGAGCAGCTGCTGTTTCAAGCATGTACGTACTGCCTGTGCCTTTTCTTCTTTTTGTCCTTTAAACACCTTCTTCTTTATGTTTTTAACTTGATCTGTTTACAACTTTTTGCTTCAGGAAGAAAACTTAAGAAATCATGTTGCCCAATTTGCTGTTTCTCTTCTTTTACTAAAAAGAATATATTTTTGAAAAGTTCATGCCTGCGTAAATGTCTAAGGTTTAGGTTGAGGGATGATTTTCCTTGGATTATAATCTGAGGATTTAGAGGGTTAAATGTTTTGAATTTTTAGAAAAGGTAAAGGGAAGTAAAATCTAGTCTAAGGGAGCTAGTCCCTGAACTTCTATGGAAAGTCCTTTTGAATTAAATATAGAAGTGATGTTTTATAAAGTAGTTATTTGCTTTCACTTTGAAAGAAATATTTTGACTGCTGAGAAAAAATATTTAAAAAGCAAAAAAAATTTTAAAGAAATGTTTATAAAATTGACTTATAAACAGTACGGGGGGTTAGGTTTTAAAAGGTCATGGATGTTTAAAGAAACCAGTTATAAGAAACTCACATATTAAAAAAATTCAGCAAGTAAACAAGATTTTTCAGATATGTGTCTTATTTTATTTTTGGAAAGGAAGAAAGAAGATTTCTGTTAATCAGATGTGTTGGCAAATCCTGGAAATCCCAGCTTCTTCCTTTCCAGATATAAATTTGGTTTAACTAGCTATTATGAAATTTCCGAAAATAACCATCCAAAGTGCTGACAAGTACTGATTGCAGTAATTCTTACATAAAAATGACGTTGTGGCTATATATTCCAGAATTGTGTTTGAATAATTATAATTAATATTATTCTGTCCTTTGGTGAAGTTTTGTTGTGGAAAAATAAATACCCCCAATCAGTCATTATATCTATACCCAGGAGCTACCCTTGCTGTTATCTTTCCTTCAACAGGATGAAATGGTTGGTTCTGGTGCTCCTGGCATGCTCCTCTGCGATAGCACAGGTACATAAGGATCCTGTCCTGGACAACCACTGGGACCTCTGGAAGAAAACCTACGGCAAACAGTACAAGGACAAGGTAAAAGAGATTGCCACTCAATTGATGAACTTCCAAACCATGTGCTTTCTCCTTGTCTAAGTTATGTTCTTACTAAGAGTGTTTTAATCAAATTTATGCATTCATTTCTTGGCAGATGCTGTAAGTACTAGAGACTTGGCAGGAAACAAATCAAAGTTCCTCTTCTTAAGGAGCTTACATAGTAGTGAAAGAAACAGGAAGTAATAACTAGTAGATACATACTATGTTCAGTTGTTGAGATGATAATTCATAACAACCCTCTGCTCAGTTTTCCAGGCTATAAATATTAAAGGGAGGAGACTGCCCGTCTTTCCCTGACAGAACCACTGGTGGATTTGAACTGCCAGAGACAGGCATTTTGATTAGCAACACATCATGCTGCAGACTGTGCCACAAGAGCTTCTACACAGTATGCTGGGTGGTATTAAGTGCAGAAGAGGGAAGTAGAGCAAGGCATTTGAGATAGGAATGGACCTGGGTGATGGCAGTGACAGGTTGGGAGTAGTTATTGAGTACATATGATATGAAGGTCAGAGAAAGCTATACAAATAAGGTGACAATGAGCAGAGAATTAGTGGGAGCTAAGAAAAAAGCAAGCGGATCACTAGGGTCAAACACCCCAGGTCAAAGGAAAATAAGTGTAAGATTCTGAAGAAGGGGGACAATGATCATGCTTGAGGAACATGAAGGCCGTATCACAGTCCCTAGCACCTAGATTTGATGACAGACATTGTTTCTTCACTCTTTATTTCCACCTTGTACTTTACTTCAAAGTATGCTTAGTAACAACAGATGAATGGATGAACAAAAAGTTGTTGTTGTTGTTATGTGCCGTCGAGTCGCTTGCGACTCATAGTGACCCTATGTACAACAGCCCTAAACTCTGCTCTGTCCTGTGCCAATCGC